AAGTGGTAGAGCGCTCGCCTTGAGCTGAAGAGCTGAGGGACAGCGCCCAGGCCCAGAGTTCAGGCCCCACGACCGGACCCAAAAAAAAAAAAAAAAAAAAAGACTGGAGCTCTACCACCTGAGCCACAGCAGCACTTCCAGCTTTTTTGGTGGCTCATTGGAGATGAGGGTGTGATGGACTTTCCGGCCCAGGCTGGCTTTGGACTGTGATGCTCAGATCTCAGCCTCCTGAGTGGCGGGAGCCACCGGCAGCCTGGCTTTTCTTGGAATTTTCTGGATTACAAGGTCCTTCCACACAGCCCAGGCCCGAGCTGGCCTTGAACTCCTGCTCTTCCTGCCTGAGCCTCCACAGGGCCCCAGGGCCTGACAGGACTGTGCTGTGTCCGGGTGGTTGGTGACACCATGTGGCACTTGTCCCTGTGTCTCTGTGGCTGTGTTCTGAGCCCCTCTGGGGGTCTCTGGACCGCTGAGGCCCGCCCCCCCTCCACCCCCTCCCGCCTGCCCTGGCAGCTGCCTGGCCAGGCCCCCATTTGGGAACAGAGACAGAAGAAGGCCTGAGGAGAGGGGGGGGCGGCTGAGTCCCCGTGTGAACGGCCCTTTGAGCCCCTCCGATTCCCAGGCCTCCCTTAAGCCCCCAGGCAACAGCGCCCCGGGCCCAGGGCCAGGCCTGGCCGGGGAGAAGGGGGAGCACAGGCCCCACCTGCTCAGCCCTGTGACTGCAGACCTGGGCTCCCACATGGGGTTTGTCTCCCCCCTCCTCCCTGCAACCCCCATCCTTGCCAGGCCACCTCAGGCAGGACCTCCGTCCACCCCAGCCTCAGTTTCCCCAACCACCTCTTCAGGGAGCAGCATGGACACCGGCGGCTCCTGCTCCCGAGCTTACATTCCATTCCCGTTCCTAGGATCCCAAGAGAGTCAGATGTTCAATTGCCATTCTCTTTTTGTCTGGGGGCAGGGGGGGCACTTGTTGGGGGGCCATGCTGGGGCTCGAACTCAAGGCCGATGCTAGGCAGGCCTGTCACCATGGAGCCCGGGCCAGGGCCTTCGTGGTTCTCAGATGAGGTCCCCCTCCCCTCCCCTCGCAGAACTGGAATTGCAGGCCTGAGCCTCCACGCCTGGCTTTCTATTGGTGGAGTCAGGATTTCGCCCACTGGAGCCATGCCTCCAGTCCAGCAATTTGCTGGTAAATTGGAGATGGAGTCTGTGGCTTTTTTTTTCTCTAGCTGACTTGAAACAGGATCCTCAGATCTCAGCCTCCGGAGTAGCTGGGATCTCAGGAGTGAGACCCGTGCCCAGCCTCCTACCACCCTGCACACACACAGGGTCTTGGCTGGCCTTGAACTTGTGATCCTACGATCCTACTGCTGGGATTCTAGCTGTGTCACCTCACCAGCTCAGACTGAGGCCTCAAGAGATGGGGTCTCCAGCGGGGGGGGGGGTGTCCGCTCCATTTCCCTGGCCCCGTGGCAGCACCGGTGTGCTGCTCGCTCCGGGGTGGCATGAATGAGTGTTCCCGCAGGAAGGGAGGCTGGGGCCGACCATGGGGCTCCAGGGACCCTGCGGGCACAGACCCCCATCCCCTCTGGGCCCTGAGTCACCTTGAACTTTGCTTTCCTGGGGCTCAGTCTCTCCACTTGTAAAATGGGGCTGGGGGCATTAAGGGGGGGTTTCTGGAATAAAGAGAATAATGATGGGGGGAGTCAGGTGCAGTGGGGGCGGCGGGGGCTCCCATGGGGGGTTGAAGGTGCAGGGGGGTGTCTGGGGGGCTCC